CAACCTCAACTCATATGGGACTACCCCCTGAATTTAAGCATATTAATTAGGGGAGGAAAAGAAACTAACAAGGATTTTCTTAGTAGCGGCGAGCGAAAAGAAATCAGTTCAGCACTAAGTCACTTTGTCTATATGGCAAATGTGAGATGCAGTGTATGGAGCGTCAATATTCTAGTATGAGAAATTAACGATTTAAGTCCTTCTTAAATGAGGCCATTTACCCATAGAGGGTGCCAGGCCCGTATAACGTTAATGATTACTAGATGATGTTTCCAAAGAGTCGTGTTGCTTGATAGTGCAGCACTAAGTGGGTGGTAAACTCCATCTAAAACTAAATATAACCATGAGACCGATAGTAAACAAGTACCGTGAGGGAAAGTTGAAAAGAACTCTGAATAGAGAGTTAAACAGTACGTGAAACTGCTTAGAGGTTAAGCCCGATGAACCTGAATATCCATTATGGAAAATTCATCATTAAAATTTTAATATTTAAACAATATTATGATAATAGTGTGCATTTTTTCCATATAAGGACATTGTAATCTATTAACATACAAAATTTATCATAAAATATGGCTTATAGTTTATTCCAATTAAAATGCTTGCGTTTTAACACAGATTAAATGTCATTAATTTGATAAAGTGTTGATAGATTTATATGAATACAGTGCGTTAATTTTTCGGAATTATATAATGGCATAATTATCATTGATTTTTGTGTTTATTATAAGCATTTGTATGATTAACAATGCGAAAGATTCAGGATACCTTCGGGACCCGTCTTGAAACACGGACCAAGGAGTCTAACATATGTGCAAGTTATTGGGATATAAACCTAATAGCGTAATTAACTTGACTATTAATGGGATTAGTTTTTTAACTATTTATAGCTAATTAACACAATCCCGGGGCGTTCTATATAGTTATGTATAATGATATTTATATTATTTATGCCTCTAACTGGAACGTACCTTGAGCAGATATGCTGTGACCCGAAAGATGGTGAACTATACTTGATCAGGTTGAAGTCAGGGGAAACCCTGATGGAAGACCGAAACAGTTCTGACGTGCAAATCGATTGTCAGAATTGAGTATAGGGGCGAAAGACCAATCGAACCATCTAGTAGCTGGTTCCTTCCGAAGTTTCCCTCAGGATAGCTGGTGCATTTTAATGTTATATAAAATAATCTTATCTGGTAAAGCGAATGATTAGAGGCCTTAGGGTCGAAACGATCTTAACCTATTCTCAAACTTTAAATGGGTAAGAACCTTAACTTTCTTGATATGAAGTTTAAGGTTATGATATAATGTGCCCAGTGGGCCACTTTTGGTAAGCAGAACTGGCGCTGTGGGATGAACCAAACGTAATGTTACGGTGCCCAAATTAACAACTCATGCAGATACCATGAAAGGCGTTGGTTGCTTAAAACAGCAGGACGGTGATCATGGAAGTCGAAATCCGCTAAGGAGTGTGTAACAACTCACCTGCCGAAGCAACTAGCCCTTAAAATGGATGGCGCTTAAGTTGTATACCTATACATTACCGCTAAAGTAGATGATTTATGTTACTTGTAATATAAATTTTGAAACTTTAGTGAGTAGGAAGGTACAATGGTATGCGTAGAAGTGTTTGGCGTAAGCCTGCATGGAGCTGCCATTGGTACAGATCTTGGTGGTAGTAGCAAATAATCGAATGAGACCTTGGAGGACTGAAGTGGAGAAGGGTTTCGTGTGAACAGTGGTTGATCACGAGTTAGTCGGTCCTAAGTTCAAGGCGAAAGCCGAAAATTTTCAAGTAAAACCAAAAAGCGAATATATATATATACAAATAATGCCAATAATAATATACTTGAATAATTTTGAACGAAAGGGAATACGGTTCCAATTCCGTAACCTGTTGAGTATCCGTTTGTTATTAAATATGGGCCTCGTGCTCATCCTGGCAACAGGAACGACCATAAAGAAGCCGTCGAGAGATATCGGAAGAGTTTTCTTTTCTGTTTTATAGCCGTACTACCATGGAAGTCTTTCGCAGAGAGATATGGTAGATGGGCTAGAAGAGCATGACATATACTGTTGTGTCGATATTTTCTCCTCGGACCTTGAAAATTTATGGTGGGGACACGCAAACTTCTCAACAGGCCGTACCAATATCCGCAGCTGGTCTCCAAGGTGAAGAGTCTCTAGTCGATAGAATAATGTAGGTAAGGGAAGTCGGCAAATTAGATCCGTAACTTCGGGATAAGGATTGGCTCTGAAGATTGAGATAGTCGGGCTTGATTGGGAAACAATAACATGGTTTATGTGCTCGTTCTGGGTAAATAGAGTTTCTATCATTTATGGTGGTAACTTGTTCCCCGGATAGTTTAGTTTGTAGCCAATTGTGGAACTTTCTTGCTAAAATTTTTAAGAATACTAATTGGGTCAAACCAATTAGTTCTTATTAATTATAACGATTATCAATTAACAATCAATTCAGAACTGGCACGGACTTGGGGAATCCGACTGTCTAATTAAAACAAAGCATTGTGATGGCCCTAGCGGGTGTTGACACAATGTGATTTCTGCCCAGTGCTCTGAATGTCAAAGTGAAGAAATTCAAGTAAGCGCGGGTCAACGGCGGGAGTAACTATTAGGATATGCCGAAATCTCTTAAGGGAGGTGCCGTCAGGCATTATGCTTCGCATAATGAACCTAATTCTATGGTGCGGAAAATTACCACGCTCTATCCGACTAGCCAGAACCATCTTCATCCCGAAGATGGCGACGGCAAAACGACCGCAAGACTTTCGTCCAATATCGGTGCCTTCAGTCTTGGTAAGACAGTTAAATGCAATTTTAGCAACCCGATTGGCCTCATCAGTCAATTGGGACCCGAGTCAGCGGGGCTTCTTACCGACAGACGGATGTGCCGATAATGCGACGATAGTTGACTTAGTTCTGAGGAGTAGCCATAAAAGCTTTAGCTCTTGCTACATTGCCAATCTGGATGTAAGCAAGGCATTTGACTCTTTGTCTCATGCAGCTATTGTAAACACCCTAAAAGCTTATGGCGCACCGAAGGGCTTCGTTGACTACGTACAGCATTCGTACGAGGTTGGGGGTACCAGTCTCTGCGGAGAAGGTTGGTGTTCAGAGGAATTCGTCCCTGCTAGAGGAGTGAAGCAGGGCGACCCTTTGTCGCCTATTCTATTTAATCTGGTTATCGACAGGTTACTTAGAGCCTTTCCCAAAGAAATTGGTGCCAAGGTCGGTACTGCTATGACAAACGCGGCCGCGTTTGCTGACGATTTAGTCCTTTTTGCGGAAACTCGTTTAGGATTACAAACTTTGCTGGATAAGACAGTTGACTTTCTAGCCACTGTCGGTCTCCAACTTAATGCTGATAAGTGTTTTACTGTCGGTATTAAGGGTCAGCCGAAGCAGAAGTGTACTGTGTTAGACCCACAGAGCTTCCGTGTAGGCTTGAACGGATGTCCAGCATTGAAACGTATAGACGAGTGGAAGTATTTAGGTATTAAGTTTAATGCAAGCGGGAGAGTGAAATGCAATCCGGCGGAGGACGTAGGTCCAAAGCTACAAAGATTGTCCGAAGCTCCCCTAAAGCCTCAACAGAAGTTATTTGCCCTCCGAACCGTCCTCATCCCACAACTCTATCACAAGCTTACCCTTGGGAGTGTGACGATAGGCGCGTTACGGAAATTTGACAAATTAATACGATTCTATGTGCGTAAATGGTTAGGTTTACCACCGGATGTGCCGATAGCATTCGTTCATGCCCCCCCAAAATGTGGGGGACTCGGGATTCCATCATTGCGATGGATGGCACCGATGCTTCGCCTACGACGTTTGAGCAACATAAAATGGCCCCACTTCGACCAATCCGAAGTAGCCAGCTCTTTCATCGAAACCGAAATGCAGAAGGCCCGAGTTAGGTTGCTAGCTGAACAAAATGAATTGTTATCGCGTCCGGCAATAGAAAAGTTTTGGGCAGATAGATTGTACATGTCTGTTGATGGTAACGGTCTCCGTGAAGCGGGTCATTATGGCCCGCAACACGGATGGGTAAGTCAACCCACGCGTTTGCTAACAGGAAAGGAATACGTTGACGGTATTAAACTGCGGATAAATGCCCTACCCACAAAGTCTCGTACTACGAGGGGAAGGCACGAATTGGATCGACAGTGTCGTGCAGGATGTGATGCTCCCGAAACAACAAACCACATCATGCAAAAATGCTATCGCTCGCATGGGAGGCGAGTAGCTAGACACAACTGCGTAGTAAATCGAATCAAGCGGGGACTTGAGGAGAGAGGCTGCGTGGTCATTGTTGAACCAAGTCTGCAGGGAGAATCCGGCCTTCGTAAACCAGACCTGGTAGTAGTCCGACCAAATCACATTGATGTGATTGACGTTCAGGTTACGACAGACGGACACCCTTTGGATGATGCGCATCAACGCAAAATCCAAAAATACGATACACCGGACATACGAACGGAATTGCGGCGCAAGTTCGTAGGCGAATATGATATTGAGTTCCATTCTGCCACTATTAATTGGAGGGGGATCTGGAGTGGTCAATCGGTCAAACGGTTGATTGCGAAGGGTCTCCTTAGCAAATATGATAGCCATATCATAAGCATCCAAGTGATGCGAGGCAGTCTTAGCTGCTTCAGACAGTTTATGTATCTAAGTGGATACTCAAGAGATTATGTAGCTTGAAGTCGTTGGTACATATGAAATAACGCCTGCTGCCTCGGCAAAAAAAAAAGAAGGCATAAACATCGCTTAAGTAGTAATCATATAATATAAGGATGGTTTTAGTACGTAGGCATTGCAGAACCCTCAACGTGAAGAAGGTTCTAATAAAGCAGTGAATCGTGCATGCTAGACATTACCCGACCACACAAGGTGATGGCGGACCTAGTATCTTTCGAAGATTTCCATACCTTAGCGATCAAAAAAAAAAAAAAAAAAAATAGCCAAATGCCTCGTCATCTAATTAGTGACGCGCATGAATGGATTAACGAGATTCCTACTGTCCCTATCTACTATCTAGCGAAACCACAGCCAAGGGAACGGGCTTGGAATAATTAGCGGGGAAAGAAGACCCTTTTGAGCTTGACTCTAATCTGGCAGTGTAAGGAGACATAAGAGGTGTAGAATAAGTGGGAGATATTAGACCTCGGTTTGGTATCGCCAATGAAATACCACTACTCTTATTGTTTCCTTACTTACTTGATTAAATGGAACGTGTATCATTTCCTAGCCATTATACGGATATATTTATTATATCTTATGGTATTGGGTTTTGATGCAAGCTTCTTGATCAAAGTATCACGAGTTTGTTATATAATCGCAAACAAATTCTTTAATAAAACAGTGCATTTATGTATTTTTGATTTGAAAATTTGGTATAACTCCAATTACTCAGGTATGATCCAATTCAAGGACATTGCCAGGTAGGGAGTTTGACTGGGGCGGTACATCTCTCAAATAATAACGGAGGTGTCCCAAGGCCAGCTCAGTGCGGACAGAAACCACACATAGAGCAAAAGGGCAAATGCTGACTTGATCTCGGTGTTCAGTACACACAGGGACAGCAAAAGCTCGGCCTATCGATCCTTTTGGTTTAAAGAGTTTTTAACAAGAGGTGTCAGAAAAGTTACCATAGGGATAACTGGCTTGTGGCGGCCAAGCGTTCATAGCGACGTCGCTTTTTGATCCTTCGATGTCGGCTCTTCCTATCATTGTGAAGCAAAATTCACCAAGCGTTGGATTGTTCACCCATGCAAGGGAACGTGAGCTGGGTTTAGACCGTCGTGAGACAGGTTAGTTTTACCCTACTAATGACAAAACGTTGTTGCGACAGCATTCCTGCGTAGTACGAGAGGAACCGCAGGTACGGACCAATGGCACAATACTTGTTCGAGCGAACAGTGGTATGACGCTACGTCCGTTGGATTATGCCTGAACGCCTCTAAGGTCGTATCCGTGCTGGACTGCAATGATAAATAAGGGGCAATTTGCATTGTATGGCTTCTAAACCATTTAAAGTTTATATTCATTTATGAACGACAATGGATGTGATGCCAATGTAATTTGTAACATAGTAAATTGGGAGGATCTTCGATCACCTGATGCCGCGCTAGTTACATATAAAAACATTATTTAATACAATGACAAAGCCTAGAATCAATTGTAAACGACTTTTGTAACAGGCAAGGTGTTGTAAGTGGTTGAGCAGCTGCCATACTGCGATCCACTGAAGCTTATCCTTTGCTTGATGATTCGATAAACCAAAAAAATATATTATATATATTATAATATAAACAATTAGAATTATCATATATTTTTGATAATTTTATTGTATTATATTATATATATACATATATAATATATTTTAATTCTTTTTGTAGCCAAATGAGTCGTCATCTTATTATATTTAATAAGTTAGTGACGTGCATGAAATTATATCTAAGTTGATACGATTTCATGTATAAAGAGTGTAACTATGGAGTATCTATCTCTTACCGGTAGCCAAATGCATCGTCATCTTATTAGTGACGCGCATAAAATTAAATCAAAGTGTGATACAATTCAAGAAAAAAGAGTCTAACTATATGGAGTATCTTACGGTAGCCAAATGCATCGTCATCTTATTAGTGACGCGTATGAAAATATATCAAAGTGATGAAATTCAAGTAAAAAGAGTCTAACTATGATTATCTTAAGGTAGCCAAACGCATCGTCATCTAATAGTGACGCGCGCATGCATGATTAATATAATAAATCAAATTGACGGATGAAATTAAAGTGTAAGAGTCTGAACGTCAGACACATGTTCCTTTTATATGAAAATGTATAGAAATATATAGAAATGAATAGAAATCTATAGAAATTTATAGACATATAGAAATATATGAAACTATAAAGAAATGTATAGAAATGTATGGAAATCTATGGAAATCTATAGATATATAGAAATATATGGAAATATAAAAAAATGTATAGAAATGAATCGAAATCTATAGATATATAGAAATAATATGGAAATATAAAGAAATGTATGGAAATAAATAGAAGTCTATAGAAATGTATAGATATATAGAAGAAATATATGGAAATATAAAGAAATGTATGGAAATAAATAGAAATCTATAGAAATGTATAGATATATAGAAATATATGGAAATTAATAGAAATCTATAGAAATGTATAGATATAATATAGAAATATATGGAAATATAAGGAAATGCAAAACAATGGAAATCTATAGAAAACTATAGAAATATATTTGAATATAAAAGAAATATATGCATATATGAAGGAAATGTATAGAAATATATGAAATGAAATATAAATATATATATATATAGAAATCTATAGAAATCTATAGAAATCTATAGAAATCTATAGAAATCTATAGAAATCTATAGAAATCTATAGAAATCTATAGAAATCAACAAAAATATAACGAAATGTATAGAAATATATAGAAATATAAAGCAAATATAAAGCAAATCTATAGAAATATATTTGAATATATAGAAATATATGAGAATCTAAATGAAATGTATAAATTTCTATAAAAATTTATTGAAATATATGAAAAAATATATAGAAATGTAAAAAATGTATAGAAATGGTATAATATACCAATAAAACTATAAGTTATATCCATATTGTCACAAATAAATTGATAGAAACCATACGTTCGACGGTTTCTAGTACTGTAAATGACCCATTGATTGTCTTCGTGGTCAAAAACATATATAGGGGGTAGGCCGTGGCTGGCACCCTGAAGTAGTACTATTGCTCAAAATATATGATATCCATATGATTTTGTCAATATATGTTGGAAATAAATTAATTGTATAGATATATGAAAATATATATGAAAATGGTATAATATACCATATATATATATGAATTATATCTATATAGCCAAAAATAAATGTATAGAAATCTAAGGAAATCTATACAAATCTATACATATCCATAGAAAAATATAGAAATGAATAAACAAATATATAGAAATATATGGAAATATAAGGCAAATATATAGAAATCTATAGATATCTATAGAAAACTATGGAAATATATATGAAAATAAAGGAATATATGGAAATAATAAGGAAATATGAAGGAAATGTATAGAAATGTATAGAAATCCATAGAAATCTATAGAAAAACCATGCGTTCGTTGGTTTCTAGTACTGTAAATGACCCATCGAATGTCTTCGTGGTCAAAAACATATATAGGGGGTAGGCCGTGGCTGGCACCCTGAAGTAGTACTATTGCTCAAAACTTATGATATCCATATGATTTTGTCAATATATGTTGGAAATAAATTAATTGTATAGATATATAAAAATATATATGAAAATGGTATAATATACCATATATATATGAATTATATCTATATAGCCAAAAATAAATGTATAGAAATCTAAGGAAATCTATACAAATCTATACATATCCATAGAAAAATATAGAAATGAATAAACAAATATATAGAAATATATGGAAATATAAGGCAAATATATAGAAATCTATAGATATCTATAGAAAACTATGGAAATATATATGAAAATAAAGGAATATATGGAAATAATAAGGAAATATGAAGGAAATGTATAGAAATGTATAGAAATCCATAGAAATCTATAGAAAAACCATGCGTTCGTTGGTTTCTAGTACTGTAAATGACCCATCGAATGTCTTCGTGGTCAAAAACATATATAGGGGGGTAGGCCGTGGCTGGCACCCTGAAGTAGTACTATTGCTCAAAACTTATGATATCCATATGATTTTGTCAATATATGTTGGAAATAAATTAATTGTATAGATATATAAAAATATATATGAAAATGGTATAATATACCATATATATATAAATTATATCTATATAGCCAAAAATAAATGTATAGAAATCTAAGGAAATCTATACAAATCTATACATATCCATAGAAAAATATAGAAATGAATAAAAAAATATATAGAAATATATGGAAATAAAAGGCAAATATATAGAAATCTATAGATATCTATAGAAAACTATGGAAATATAGA